AAAATAACTTATCTCCGCTCCGCTGACTGAGAAATTCTTTACCCTTCTTTTAAAATATCGGGTAATATGATTTTGGAAGTTACTTTGAAATAGTGTTGTTGCTGTTATCTTGGTAAAGTATTAGATTATGTGTTGCAAATTATTGTGTTTCATATTTGTGATTCTATTTTCTCATGTTATTGGAGATAATTATCTCCTACTATAAATACATGATATGGTAGAGTCCATCACCTATTAAAAAAAAGATAAAAAAAAATAATGGCACAAATTTTTATGTGAAAATAACATGAGATACTGATTTTCCTTTATATTTTGGTGCAAACAAAAGTGTGCGAAGTCAGGATATAAATTTGGATATATATTTTTTAATTATACTTATGATTAAAACCACGAATAAATAAATAAATTAAGAAAGAGAGAGCATCTCACACCATAAGTTTGTGTTAAAGTAAACTATTTCATGGGTATTATAATATGAAGGGTTGGTTTATTTTTTTGTGATTTTTAAAGATAAGAAGTTTCTGTATAATTAAAAAAAAAGTTTATTTTTCCTTACGATAATTAAATTTTTTTGGAAAGCTAAAACCCATGAATAAAGTAGTTTTAATATTTTTTCGTAAGCTAATAATTTTTTTAAAAAAAATTTACTCTGTAAACGCTCTTTTTGAAAAAAAAATATATATATAAAAACGCATCACGTTATTTTGTAAATTTTGTGCTGAATATCATCTTTTGTGATAACCTTATAATTCTATCTCTTTTATATTACAAATTTTTATAACATATCATAGTTAATAATAGTATACTATTAACTATTTTGAATAAAATTTCATCATCATTTAATTTATTAGAAGAAAATTGAAATGAAAGCATCAAAATCAAAATGGCATTACCAGTATTACTATGTGAGAATCCCAGAGCTGTCGAGTATGGGTGGCACCTGCTTTGCACGTGAATAAGATGAAATAGATAGATTAGATGATATGCATAAAAAAACAAATTAGAAATGAAAGAAAAATAGCCAATAACTTATGGCTCCACTCATTCAAAACATCAAATGTTTTGGTCATGCTCTGTAGCAACCAGCACTTGCCGAATGCTCATATGTAATCTTCTGAATCGACTCTTTGACCACTTTAGTACTGTTTGGGATTAAATATACGAAATTGGTATCTCAACAGGAGAAATTACGGTATGGGGTCATTAAGTGCCGCGGGGAGATCCCAGCGTGTCCAAAAGACGCCACCCCCTCCCCACGGAACTCTTGTTAAATTTTTTTGTTTTTTATTCGGACAGAGTGTCGCTCACTGGCCCCCACGACACTCAATAAATTTTTTTTATTTAAATAAGTACCGCATGGACCCCCCTACGGCATTAATTAAAATAATTTTTTTGAGTGCCGCAGAATCCCCCCCTACGGTACTAATAAGTCCGTACGTTTTTAATTAAGTGTGTAATAACTTTTTTTTTTTTTTAAACCCCCAATTTCAATTACTTCACCTTTTTTATATTTTCATGCTTTTTTTCCCTATTCATGATTTCTGGGTGCGTCGTGTGTGGCATTTATATTTACCCAATTTGCAAATAGGGTTTGGTTTTTGCTTAGAGGCTTCACCTTCCCCCCTCCTTCGAATGGAAAAAATTAATAGATGAAGCTGCTGAGTTTTTAAAATCGATAAAAATTTCACCTTTTCCTCTCAACTTCTGCTAATGTGATCTACTCGTCGAAGTGAAAGCGAAGCTGAGTTTGAAAGGAAAAGGAGCACAGAGGAGCAGGAGCCAGAATGGAGTGGGTCTCCGATCGGAGGACAAAGGGAGCACTCATTCCTTCGTCCACCTTCGCCGTGAACCACCAACAGACCGTCAACCACCTTCGCCGTTCATCGGAGCCACCTGTAGAGCAGTGAGTTTCTTTCGCAGAAGAATCACAGGTACTGCTCACTTTGAGATGTTACTCTTCTTGAGTTTGAAGTTGAAAAGTAATTTGCTTTATATATTTTTCTTCCTAGATCTACAAGTATATGTAACAATCATTTTTGTGTATTTTCAAAATATTTTTTGTGTGTGGACTGGATCTTGTTTGATTTTGAATTAGTAAACATAATTATTTTTCCTTAGGTGCTATATTTGTTTTCCGATTTCGTTTAAAATTTATGTGTATCACATAAAGTACATTCTTGATTAAAATACTTTATTTATGGTTATGGTATCAATTTCATGAATCAAATTTTTGGGCTGTAGCTTTAATGGGAATTGTAAGAATCAAAATAAGGATCAAATTTTTGGGCTGGAGCTTTAATGGGAACTGTAGCTTTAATCTAAACTCAAAATTGGAATATTCAATCTCCATGCGTATACAATTCCATAATGATTTAGGAGATTTTTGTGTATACTGGAATGGCCTAAGAGGAATATGACTTAGTTAGATGCAGCGTTTATCTATTTAAGTTCTGGTGGTGTAGTGAATGGCTTAGTACTGTTCCAAATTGAAGCATAAGGATTATTTTTGTTGCCCTTTATTTTATTGTGGTTTTTGGTGCTGATAGATAATATTCTAGTGTGGTGCCATTTTAAGTTTGAGACTCCTGAACTAGATGGAATTATATAGTTGGGAGTGCGTTTCTGTTTTATTTCTGTATGTGACTTTTATTTAGACAACTTCATATTTCCTTGCATTTCGTTTATGTTATGTGCCCTTTGGTAATCAACCATGTATCTTCCCCCAACATATATGATTATATAGATTAAATTATTTTAGTTTTGGTAATCATTCTTTTAATATAGGATGACAAATTATGAAGCCCATCACTTCATTTTAAGCTATCTTTTATGAAATGTAGTATGTAATAGCCTTTCTTTATGTATTGTAGATAAATCAAAACATCCTCCAGAAGTAGCAATATACCTTTATTCCTCAAAAGAAAGTATCAACTAGCATTCTGAGTTCTCAACCGTTATTTATGTATTGCATTATTTATATGCATATTTATCAATTTCTCGAGACAAAGAAGTTTTATACTAAAATTTTGCAGACCCTTTCTCATTATGATTTCATGATGGAAAAAAACGAAAAACAAAAATCAACATCGTGTGCCATATAGTTTTAGATGTGCAGCGGTCAAAGCCATATTCTCTTCTTCATAAGCTTTAGGGATAAAAGGTATAGACCCAATCTTAAAAGAATCACGGGACTGATCTTAAATCAAACGTAGTTAACTGAGGCTATCTTTTGTGACTTTGTCTGAATCATTACCTTGCTGCCCATGTGACTACCGTCTTTCCCATTAAACTTTAATAATGTCATCTGTTTACTGTGATTGCAGGATTATACCTCTACACAGTTACAGAGCGTAAGCTTTTGGTGGATACTTCAAGAGAAGAAACATTACACATCAATGTAAATTTTTATTGTTCAAAATGCATGTAATGTGGAATTGTAATCTGCATAGGAATTTTGTATTCATAACAAATTAAGTTTGTTATAAGTTAGAACCAATTATCTCATCCTGGTGGTGACATTTTGTACCAAACAGTCCTATGTGTATCTCAAACAGAATATTACTTATACTATCCATGAATTAAATAGGTATATATCACTACGAAAAAATATGTTATTTGTGGAGGTTAATAAAACCTCCAATAATTATATACATTGTGGAGGGGTTTGACCCCCAAAATATCTCTGATTTTAAAATTTATTGAAAATTTTCTATAAATGACCGTTATAATTTTAAAAAAAATGTATATTTTTTAGTTTCAACGTATATTATTTTTTTTGTTTTGTTAATCCTAACCTGATATCAAAATGTATATTGTATTTTCAAGTGAGAAACACCGCCACAAGTGTGATCTTCTTAGGGTTTCTCACATCTTCTTCTTCGTTTCTCTTCTTCTGTAAATCTCTCCATGAGTTCTCCGAAGATTGAGCTAGCTTGGTTTTCTTATTTTAGTTTCTCCAAATGCGTTCTGTTTCCCATTTTTATAGGTGTATTCTATTTTATTTTATCTTTTCATCTTTCTCTCTCTATAATTAAAATAAAATTGTATACTCTTTCTTGAATTTGAAATTAATTCACAGTTTTCTCTCTCTCTATCTTTCTTTGATTTTTAGTTTATTTATTTATTTCTTTTTGCGAATTGTTGGTTTTGTTTTTCAAAATATTTTTGTTGGTTAGAGAATATAATCTCCTTTTGGTTTGTGAACTTGTACAGATGATGGTTCTCACCGTGTCCCCGACATTGTTCTCCAAGGATGGCCCCTGGGTAGGCTAATTTTATTTTTAATTTTCTTTTATGAATGTTTATTATGATATGCATGAATGTTTATTATGATATGCATGAATGTTTATTTTCCCAGTAAGTTCCTACTAAAATTCTGCAGTTTTTCTTCACTTTAGAGTTTTGATAAGGTACAAATTATTCATTTATTTAGCTATTTATTTATTTGCTGGTTTCCAGATTAGCATCTATGTCTCTTGTTAGGAAACCATATGATCTATGTTAGCTGGTTTGTATTCATTGCCATAGGTTTGTGCTCTCTAATATTACTAGTTTTTGTTATTGTCTTTATTCTTAACCTTATAGCCATATCATTTATTTGTTCTTTTTATATCTTTTGGAGGAAGGTGAGGAAAGAAAGAATCATGGTACCTTGAGATCAAACCTTGAACTTCCCCTACAGCTTGTTAGACAATTCTGGTTAAGATAATTTTTAGTGAGGTAAATTTAATATCATTATTTTCTTGTTCTGATTTTTGTTTGTTTTAATACATGTGAATAAATTATGGAGTCTGCAAATAAGACTGTTAATGTGGATGATGATGTTGTTTTTGAAACTCTTCCTTTTAGTGTCTGGGTTTCGGTGTTGTGACTATAGTTGTTATTTTAAAATAGTGAATAGTAATATTTTTTTAAATTATTCTATTTGTCTTATCCTAACATTGACATGTGTTGCGTGATTAATTATATGTACTTTAATCAGTATTTTATAATAATTAGTGATGGCAGCTGACGATTCATCTGCGAGACGTCTTCACCCTGGTCCTCGCATCAATACGGTATTGCACATGCAATCTACACACCGATCAGAGGTTGTCTGGATGGAGGAACAGGATTATAAATCTCTGAATGTCAGAAGTGGACGACTGGCGGGGTTGGATGTTATTCCAGAGCCCATTGTACCTTATTTACGTCATGCCGATTTTCTTGGCGCTGCTCGGATGGGCCGTATGGAGGTATTTGTGTGCTAAATATATTAAATTATACATAAGTTATCAAACATACATAATTTTGTACATTTTGTTTATTACTTTATGGTTTGCAGATTGACAGTGCATTGGTCACAACTCTAGTCGAGCGATGGAGACCAGAGACCCATACATTTCATATGCATCCGGGAGAGGTGACGGTGACACTCGAGGATGTTGCAATAATCACAGGTCTTCCTACAGACGGTGAACCTGTTACTGGCATGTCTGAAACACGCGAGTTGAAAGCTTTGGTACCGCAACTACTTGGGAGGACCCCGAGTCCAGCTGATTTTAAGGGTGGTAGTCTTAAGATGTCATGGTTGGATGCAAATTTTACAAATGTTGAGGAATGGATGGATGATGAAGAGAATCTTCTCTGATTCACGCGAGCATACATATTACGCCTTATTGGAGGTTTTTTACTGGCAGATCACAGTGGTGGTAAGGTGCACCTCCGATATCTACCTTTTCTTAGTGACTTGAATGCATGTGGACGATTTAGCTGGGGATCGGCAGTGTTGGCCTGCCTTTATCGGGAGTTGTGCATAGCCACCTCACCTGATCGGATTGAAATATCCGGTGCATGTGTGGTGTTGCAGATGTGGGCTTGGGCTAGATTTTTGTCCATCGCTCCAGATACAATACTACCTCTCCTCCATTTTGATGATACCACACCCGTTGGTGTAAGGTATGTTAATCTGACATGTAATGTTTGATACTTCTGTCTATTAGGTGGTATTTATTTAACATATATTATATTATGCAGATGGACCGGTCATAAGACGATTTTTCATGATCTATCTTGGTATCGAGAGAGGTTTGATAGGATGACCGAGCAGCAGGTACTTGCAAAGTGCTTACCATCCATTTCTTTTAATGATATGTATTGGTTTATATTTTATTTCCTACATGTAATATCTTCAATTGCTTTGTTGTCTGTGCAGATTATATGGACTCCATACACAGAGATTGAATTGCCAGATCAAATTCAGGAAATAAGTGATCGTTGGAGAGCAATCACGCCAATGATATGTTTTCAGATTGTGGAGTACCATCAACCTGATCGTGTTATAAGACAATTTGGGATGCGTCAGCATATACCTCAAAAATATTTACAGCCGGAGGAGGTGCACCACCTGACATTGAGGGGAAAGACCGAGGTGCCTTGGCCTCGTCAAATGCAGCAGTTCGTACAATCATGGCATGAGAGAAATGATTCAATTCAGAATGCTCCACCTCATCCACGTGACCGCATATTAGGGCCTAACTCAGTATACATGTTATGGTATAGAGGAATCACTAGACGATGGATCATCAGGAAGGCATGTCACTCGGGTTTATTGGTGAGTTGAGAGATCTTATTTATTACATTTATATTTGCCATATTAGACAGATTACAATCATTAAATCGGATTATCCCTTTGTATATGCAGACGGATCGCCTTCAACGTGTTCACTACATGTTGCAGACACATCAGCCATACGATCAGATTCAGAAAGTGGTTGAGCACATGCTGAACATGCAGGCAGAGTATGATCGCGTATCATATCCTGGTGAAGAAGCAGCTGCACCTACGCAGCATTCATCACAACCCATTGTGGTTGGTGATCGGATACCTCACACTTGGAAGGAAAGGAAGGGGCTAGCACTTCATAGACCTCAAATTGAGCATGCTACATGGGAGTTGCCGGATCTTCCTCCTAGGGGTCATGGTATGTTTTACGCTGAAGCTGCGGGACCGTCACAGTCTTACTTGTATCCTGACGATACATTTATATCAGATCAAGAGCCACCTTCTCTTCATGAGTCACCTTCTTACCATCAACCACCTTTTCATCATGAGTCACCTTCTTACCATCAACCACCTACTTATCATCAGTCACCAGTCGAGGATCATTCACAACCACATCAGTCACCAGTCCCGCATTACTCACCAGCACATCATGATTCGCCAGCATTATTATCTGCTCCAGATGACTATCGCCCCGAGTATGCTCCATCATCTGAACATGTGGTCCCATGGCGTGGTTCCAGCGTGGAACAAGCATCACTGGCCTTCCCATTTGCATCATTTACCGCGTGTAGTCAATCGGTTACACCTCCAGGAGAAGCAGCAGTCACCGATATGTTACAGTCAGGTGCATCGACAAACTTCATTGTGAGTATGCCTATGGAACAGGGTCATGGGTTTTTGCATATGGATCAGGACAATGTGAGCATTCCTATGGACGAAGAGTATATTATACGTAGGCAGCCAGATAGGCGTGCGCGTCATAGACGATTCCCATGTTGTAACAGCGGATCACAAGGTTCCTGCCCTATACATGATCATGGTGATGAGACTTTGTGATCAGAGGTACTTGCAATGATGAGCTCATATGCCTAATGAAAGGATGTAACTTCAGTCTTCATATATAGGACACTTTTGGACTCTTGCTTCTGCAGCGAAGTGGTTTTCTTTTGTCTATTCGACATGGTTTGCATCTCTTTCATGCTCAATTCCCGTAAATAGTTGTGCTTTGCAAACATATAAAAAATGATATTGCCATTATGAATAACTGCCTTATTCAGCTGATTAATTTTCTACAATTTGTATTTTATATGTGACTCGGATTTTAAGTTCTACCTCTTTATCCTACAAATAATGCAAATGTATGGATTATATTTGGTTGCTGAAGATTTGATAAATTATTTGTTTAGATCATGATGAACAACCTTGAAGCAGATGACGTTTCCTTGCAGCCCCATTTTCCTTGGGAAGGGAGTGATCATGATTACGAAAATATCAACGTAAACATGTTGTTGGTGCAGCTTTTGTGTGCAGCTTCTTGGTGAATTAGCTTTGTGCTTGCAAGGATAACTAATTGGGACGTGTTCCAGATTCATACTAGACAGCTCCTCAGATTCCTTCCCCTCCAACAATGCATGGGTTATACTGGCCCAAAGACCCTCATCTCTATGATAGTGCTCTCTTTGTTACTGACATACACTTTTATAACATGGTTCAACCTCAGATTTAGTCGTATGTATTCAAGACGGATGAGGCATTTTGTGATTATTGTAACATCTGATTTATAACTTGGAGACAATGCTTTTTTATTTGTTCTCTTCCTTTTAATGTTTTTTAGAAATGTAGTTCACAGCCGTGGACTTAGTATGATAGAAAGGATGCAGTTTCCTGCAGAAAGTGGTATTTTTGAGTAAAAGTCAAGATTCAAGAATGAGAATATACGACTTTATGGAAAGCTTATGGCATCATATTGTTTGTATGTGAGAATAGTATAAGATAAGTGTTTTACATAAAATAAGAGAATGATTTCTCATTAATAAATCATAACAAGTAATAATTTTTTTATTGAAAGCACCAAAATCTTTTAGAAAAATCTGATCAATATCAACATTGTGTTTTTATAAGGGAAGTTTTTTATTAAAGTTATAAAGCTATTTAAAAAAATAATATTATATTTTCTTTTTAAAGGGGAGCATGAAAGCGAACACCCCATGATTGTTAAAATTATCTGTTCAAATTTTTAAAAGAATAAATATCTTTTCAAATGTTAAAAATAATTAAGAGATTCTACCAAAATTTAAAAAAAAAAACCAATAATAGTAACTCTGGCATAGAACCCATGATTGTTAACAACATTAATAATTCTTAGGAAAAGTGTTTAACCCTACAGGGAAAATGATGCAAATAAAGGCAAAATAAATAATCTATCTCACTGGTTGGACGATGACTCTTGTGTAGGACATGTACGCCTTGTGTGACCAACTTGCCTACAAATGCCACACTTAACATTGCATCTTTGCGATTCTCGCTCATCCATTTCATTCCTTATACGTGTTGATCTTGGTCTACCTTTCGGACGCAGTGATGCAGGGTTAGGACATAAAATGCGACCTTCAGACGGTGGTATATAATCTTCATCCCCAATCGGGTACCATTCAGCAGAATATGCATCGACAATATTCTGAAGTGAGTACACCAGGTCCACATATTTATAAAAATCGATCTTTCGGAACCTGCACGCTGCAATAACGTGAGAGCATGGATAGTGGAACGCAGTAAACCTTCCACATTGACAATCAGGTGTGGTCAAATCTACTGAAACAACACGCCCACCTGTCTGTGTAAAATAATTAAAAGCCTCTTCAACCTCAAACCTGTGTCCATTAGGGTCATAACTGCGAACAATGTGTGTAGATGCAGCCTCTTGGTTATTTTGCATCTCCTCAACAAGAACCTTACAATATCGATTGCCAACAGCTATTTCCTGACGAGCATGACTTGCTCTTGTAACAAAGTATTCAACACACCTACTGTAGGTGAATTTCATTATAGCAGAAATCGGCATGCTTCGGATACCCTTTAGAACTTTGTTCACAGCCTCTGACAAATTAGTAGTCATATGCCCATATCGTCTACCCCCTTCATCATATGCAAGAGCCCATTTCTCCTTTGAGATACCATCAATCCAAGTAGCAATCTCTGGTTTTCGATCACGGAATTTCGTCAGTAATCGATCAAAGTGTTTCCTGGACGCTATGCACCCTACGCAAAAAAGTTTAACAAAGTTATTTTCTAGCACAAAATCATTATGGAATAAGTATTGTAATCATACATAAATTCAGTAAGTCCTGCTTCAATTGAACATTATGAAATTTGTGATTGAAGTTGCTAGCAATGTGTCTGATACAGTACACGTGATAGGCATGTGGAGGCCCCCAAAGATCAGGATTGTTTGCTACTGCTTGTTTTATGCTTATGTGACGGTCTGATATAAGACATATACCTTGCATATCAGTCACATGACGACGTAGCTTTCGTAGAAACCATGACCAATCACTAAGTGTCTCAGATTCTACAATAGCAAATGCAAGCGGAAGCACTTGACTATTACCATCTTGTGTGGTTGCAATCAACATCGTCCCCTTATATTTTCCATAGAGATGAGTGCCATCAATTTGTATCATAGGTTTACAAGATTTGAAGGCATGCTTGCATTGATTGAATGTCCAAAAAACACGATGAAACATATCACGAGATTCGTCTAGTTGGCCTTCCGTAATGTACGGCAGTCGATCAATCGTGTAAAATGAACCTCGAGCAAAAGACAACATGTACTTTAACCACCTTTCCAGATAAGCATATGAATCTTCCCAATCACCAAACAAATTAACTATGGCTTTTTGTTTGGCCATCCAGGCTTTTCGATAGGACACTTTGTAACCATTAAGTCCAGAAATTCTCTCCTGAATAAGTGCAATGCTACATGACGGATCCACCTGAACCATACCTGATCAAAAAAGGTGGAATATAACATGTTAAGTACAAGTATTGTATACCATCGTCAATTATCTTAGATATACATATATTTT